GTTGGAAGGATTTATTTGAGGCCGATTCAGCTTCGTCTTGGCCTGGAACCGTCCCTTAAGCCTTTGCAGCTGTGTAGGCTTCTCCTGTGGGCAATGGGGAGCCTTAACACTATGCTGCGGGGAGAGAATATGAACTCCTTGGAACGCACGACCCTTTTCAACGCTCCGGAGTGGTTTGCCCAACTTCTCAGGTACCTGAATAATGTCTGAAGGCTTTTTCTTGGCCTCAAAATCTCCCCTGAATTTTTTACAGGCTTGAAAACCTCGAGAGGAAATATTCTTACTCTCGGGGATGTTCGGCTGGAGTTTCCCGGTCGCTGCAGAGTCTTGTTTCGCGGAGCCTCCATTTGTCTCGGCGATTTCCCCTGTTGCCGGCCGGTCGTGACGTTTTAAATTCGCGCCATCATGATCTCCTTTTTTCGCCATCTTGGATGTCGCACTGTTGTTGCCCTGCAGCTCCGCTCGTGCCTTCTTCATTTTCCAACACGCCAAGAATCGATGTCCTGCTGCGCCGCAAAATTCGCAGTTCTCATGTTTTGTCGGCCGCTGCTTCGCGTCGATCTTGTCCATATCCATCGGGTCGGCGGTCGTGGGTGGTGCCGATCGCTTCGTGTCGAATGATGTGTTCGGCACGTGGCGTCGTGTCTCGGGCTCACATCGCATTAGCGCATCGAATCTCTCTGCTGCACACACCATGTCGCGGAAGTTGTTGTAGTTTGCGGCAATCACCTGTCGGCGGACTTCCATCTTTAGCCCCTCAGTATACGCTTGGATTTTTTCCCCTTCGGTCAGGTCGGTAATTCGGTTGAAGAGGCTCTCCATCTGCTGCGTGTACTATGTTACACTGTCGAACTGTTTATGCCGATGAATCTGTTGCCGCGCCATGTAGCTGGAGTTGATTGGTTCGAAACGTTGAATTAAAGCTTCCTGAAACTGCGTCCATGACCCCTCGCCTCGGATCTTATTGCTGTTGTAAATCCACTCGAGCGCTGGGCCTCGTAACAGTGTCACTGCGAGCCGAATCCGCATTGCATCGTGTGTCGGGGTCGTACAGCCAACGGCCTCGAAGTAGATTTCGAGAGTCGCAATGAATCGACGAACGTCAGTGTCTCTCGCATTCGGATTGAACGTCTCCGGTAGCCTCGGACGTGCCACCTCAAGATTCACTGTAGCCGCTGCCGCTGCTGCTGGGTTAAGTGTCGGTGTCGCCGCTGCTGCTGCTGACGTCGCTGCTGCATTCGCCGCTGCGTTCGCTGCTGCTATGGCGGCTGCCGACTGGTTCGCGAGAAGCTCCTCTATTCGCTGGAGTGCCGCTCGCGTCTGGTCCAGGCTGGTGTGTAACTCCGTAATTTTCCGTACGGAATTATCACCGTTTTCCTCCATTTGGCGATTTATAAGAAGATTTGCGACGAAAATATATAAATTTTAGGCGCTGGTCATCTTACTGTGAGTTGAGTTGACTGCAGAAATGACGAGGGCTGATTCTGTAGGTTGCGTTATTCTCCCTTAGTCGAAATTCGCGTCTGATCTCGGCCGTTGAGAAGAAATTCGATCCGACGCTCCAAATTCCAACTCTTTTGGGCGAAATTCTCAGGGCCGTTGAGATTCGAATCGATCCGACGGTCGAAATTCCAACTTTCTCGCCACTGGACCTGAGGAGTGTTTGAAAACCGGTTCGAGGGGGACGTTAGAAAATAGCGCGGAACTGGTTTACGTACCCGAAATCGGCGCTTTCCGTCGTCGCCCCCGCAGTTTTAAAAGCTAGGTTTAAGCGGTCGAAAAACTTCGCTTGTAAACAGGCTCTGAATACCAAGTGTAGGAACTAGGATCGAGCTCCAAAAAGAGAATTGTAATTCAATTTCCACCTGGGTACAACACGAGGCTATATATAGGCTCGAAACAAGGCCCCGTAACCAGGTGTTACGCGAAGGTTCCGCGGGTCGCGAAGCGTCCCGAACAGATCCTTCCCGAATTCGGTAGAAGGCAATTCGGTGGCAACCGAAAATCCAGAATTCGGTGCACGCAACCTAGCTCGGTGCTATAACTATAATAAAATATAGGAAAGCACCTAGCCTAGGAAATCAAGCAATTCATGCATGCATATAATTATCCTATGCTAGAAATAGCATAATAAAGTAAAGGCAAGCAAGCATAGCTGGCATAAGCCGTCGTTCTCTCACAGCTGCACCTTCGCGAGCTTCGCCAGGGCGCGATTCCCAAGATCGGGCTGAGCGTCTTGCATCTTCAGCCAGTGCAGCTTTTCCTTCACAGTGATCCCGTGACGCACCTTCTTCGTCATACGATGGTGAGAGGATGGTGTCTCACCATCCGTGTTGCGTTTCGTCTATCCCTGCAGGCGCTTACTCTCCGGGAAGGTGGGGACAGCCACTCGTGGAAGGGGAGGGCGAGGGGCTTCAGAGCTACTGCTCGGTTCATCCCTGGTAGATGCACTACCAGGAGGAGACGGCTGGGGCAAGACGGGGCGAGGCGACGTCCGTGGGCGTGCAGGAGCGGCAGACTGAGAGTTAAAAGGCCACTGCCGCCTAACTACCGTACTGCTTGAATCGGGTGAGGAAGCCATTCTAGTCTACTTCAGGTTAGTGTCACTCGCCATGGCAGAAATGGCTACGGTATAAACAAAGATGCTTGAGTGCAGGACTATGGCGCTCTCACAGCCTGCCGAGCACTCTTCAGTATCGTGCACTGGAACCGCTGCACAAAGAGAAGGTGAGAGAACCTTTGAGGCACAGGGACGTGCCCAAACCAGTCAAGACGTGACTGCTGCAAGGACAACGCAACACCGTGTGCGATTCCGGCCTCGGCGGTTGCATGAACTCTCGCTACGCAAGGCTGGCTATGTTTTTACCCTATCAGGTGCCAGAGTTGCCCACTGAAATTCGCCATGTGGCAGATTCCAGTGGGCGGTCACGTAATCCTCGTATACTCGGTTTTGCGGTACTGATCAACAATCTAGAAGTGAAGTGACACCCCACATTTTGTTTCACATCATTTCTGCTTCATAAAAAATATACAATATAATAAGACCCGGGTATTATACAGGATTTTCCGTTGAGGAGACCCCCCCCATTTTTTTCCGGTGGTTTTCATAATACCCTAGGGTGTTTTATCCGGGAGAATACGGTATGTGAGCTTGGCTAAATCGCTTGCGTCGACCAGTGGCTTCACCTCCATCTGGGCCAATCCGCGCACGATTTTCCGTCCCCCATAAGATGTCAGGATGGGTATGACGGCAGGCTGCTGTCTAGGCCCATCAGCTACTGTTACGCCCGTTAATGCTTGTATGCGCTATGATAGTGCATCTTGCATTGCCAAAAAAAAAAAAAAAAAAAAAAAAAAAACAGCCACAGGGAGGTCATCAACCTATATGAAGATTTATATGCTTACACTAGATACCTCGTTGGGGTTTCAACCTAGGTTAGGAGTTTGGTGATTCGTCATTTCTTAGCCCTTCCTGCTCATATTCTTTGTATCAGCTGTACTCAGATAACAATGTAAAACTAATCGGTTCACTCGATAAAGCGATATGTTTGACCGAGCACTTCCCTTGTTTGAAGCGCTTAGAAACTCCTAAAATCGAATACTTGTCCATCATCCGCCGCATCCTTGTCTCGCCGTTACGCCATCAACCAACGACTCCCCATCGTCGCCCGGCTGCATCCACCCAAATCCGGCGCTTCGGCGCCCATTCCTCTGTTTCGTCTCATCTCCTCCCTCCCATCCCAGACACACGCCCACCTCCCCCTCGCGGTACCCTAATTCTATCGCCGCGCCCCTCGCAACGCCACCCTCCCCGTCTCCTCCGCGCTCCGCCGGCATCGTTGCCTCCATAGGTCCCTCGGTGCACGCACCCCCTGAGCTAATTCGCATCCTCCTCCTCTCGCCTCCCTCCTCTCCTCTTTCAAAAGCTTCTCACTCGCCGCGATCCACGCCGCATAAGGCGCGCGCGCGCAGATGCCGCCGTACGAGGTGCTGGTGATGGCGAAGGCGGCGGTGCAACGGCGGGAGCTCGCGGATCTTGTGCGAGGTCTGGCGCAGCGAGTTATCAGGTGCGTGCGACGAACGATAAGTTGCGTGCGACGGGCGAGCAGGTGCGTGCGACGAGCGATAAGTTGCGTGCGATGGGCGTGCGTGGCGAACGATTAGGTGCGTGCGACAAGTGATCAACTGTGCGACTGGGCTAGCGTGATGGTGGTAGAATTGGCGGGACAAGTGTTTGGTTCAGCGGCACGAGGCATCACACACGTGGGATGAGCGATCGCATGCTTTCACTGCACGGGACAAGTGTTTGGTTTCTCTAAAAATATGTCAACGATTCTGCCCCTTGCACTCTCGATCTCCTTGCTCGCTCCTCCCACCTCTTCCACTTCCCAACAGCCATCGTTCTCCCGCCTCTCCACCACTCTCCACTGTCCCCTCCTGCTCCCAGTTCCTCCACCACCCTCTCCTCCCTGCTGCCTCTCTCCCTGCCATACCCACTCTCTCCTCTGGTTGTCTGCGCATGTTGCCCCACCCTCCCCATCCCTTTCCCCCTGCCCCCCCCCCCCTCTGCAGTAAGGTCAACATGTTGGTGATAGCCGTGTTAATGGTTGCATGCTGCAATGGCCGCCCCTGTCACAGAGAGTCAACAACCAATCAAGATGCACACTTTCTCTTAACCACTCTTCCTGCCTGGTTTCTCCAACTCCGCTTTCCCTCTCCCCTCTACCCTCTCCACTCTCCCCTCTCCCCTCTTCCCTCTCCATTTTTTTCTCTCCCTCTCCCCCGTCCCATATCCCCTCGACCCTCCGTATCCCCCATCTCTCATCGCCCCTCGCCCCCCACCCACCCCTCTCTCTCCCCCCTCTCCTCCGCTTCGCTCCTCACCCCTCGCCCCTTGCCAATCGCCCCTCACTCACCCCTCGCACCTCAACCTCTGCGCAGTGACGGCGGGGTGGTGATGGCAGTGAAGTCGTACGGCACAGTGCGCCTGGCATACGACGTCAAGAAGCGAGACGGCTGGCACCAGCAGGTGAGATGGCTAGCACTGCCGTGCCCACGCCGTGCTGCCCTGTCACCATGGCTTGGGGTTTGGGGGTGATGGTGGTGAAGTCGTACGGCACAGTGCGCCTGGCATACGACGTCAAGAAGCGCGACGGCTGGCACCAGCAGGTGAGCAGTGGGCACTGCTGTGCTGCCGACACCGCGATGCCCTGCTGTCTTATGCCAGGCCGAGGGAGACGTCTGGCACTATGGGGAAGGAGAGGGCATGGGGGAAGGAGAGGGGCAAGGGGGAAGGAGAGGAGCAAGGGGGAAGGAGAGGGGCAAGGGGGAAGGAGAGGAGCAAGGGGGAAGGAGAGGGGCAAGGGGGAAGGAGAGGGCATGGGGGAAGGAGAGGGGCAAGGGGGAAGGAGAGGGCATGGGGGAAGGAGAGGGGCAAGGGGGAAGGAGAGGGGCAAGGGGGAAGGCGAGGGCATGGGCATGGGGGAAGGAGAGGGACAAGGGGGAAGGAGAGGGGCAAGGGGGAAGGAGAGGGGCAAGGGGGAAGGTGAGGGGCAAGGGGAAAGGAGAGGGGCAAGGGGGAAGGAGAGGGGCAAGGGGGAAGGAGAGGGGCAAGGGGGAAGGAGAGGGCATGGGGGAAGGAGAGGGACAACGGGTGGGAGAGGGGCAAGGGGGAAGGAGAGGGAGAGAGGGACAAGGGGATGAGAGGGGCAAGGGGGAAGGAGAGGGACAAGGGGAGGAGAGGGAGGGGGAAGGAGAGGGACAAGGGGGAAGGAGAGGGACAAGGGGGAAGGAGAGGGACAATGGGGAAGGAGAGGACCATGGGGGGGTGGGGTGGAGGTTGGAGGGGGGGTGGGGCGCAATCAAGGGATAAGGAAAGCATATCAACAGGATCAAGGAGTTTGGGACTTGGGATTATAAAGGTTTAGGATTTTGTAACCCTAAACTCTGCCCGCTGCCTCCCGTTTGAAGTAGTCCAGTTCGGATGATTTCGAAACCTGCTTCCTCCTTTGTGCGCTCCTCCCATCGTCAGCCCTTTTGCTGCTGTTAATTATGTTCCCTTCCCATCATGACGTTCCTTCCACCGCTCCCCTTCTTTTCCACCACAGGGAAGTTGTTGCTTGAACCGAATGTATTTGTCACCATTCATAATTCGTTTCCAATTTGCTCCCTCCCTTTGTTCCCTTCGTATCCCTTAAGCCCAGGTAGAGCAGTCATCATGCCTTCCATATGCTACATGTGTAGGCAAAGCAGTTGCTACAGCTCCCACCTGGTCTGCTCCCTGACAACTCCTCACAACTCCCACCCCGTCTGCTCACCCCAATGCTACATGTGCTGGCAAAGCAGTTGCTGTATGTTTAATCCTTCAAACACAAACTCTCATCCCCTCCCTTGTTCCCCCTCCTCTCACTCCAACCGTCGTCCCTTAAACCCTAACCCCAAAACCTCCAGGGCCAGGTAGTGCAGTTGGAGGTGAACGCGCCGGCATCGCTAGCCCAGCAGCTGGAGCACCTGAATAAGGACGAGAGGCTGCTGCGCTGGCTGCTGCTCAAGAGCCGGCCTAAGAGGTGGATGGTGTGGCGGGGAGAAGCCCTGCAGAGCACCACCACACCTCCCTCTCAGTTTACGTGACTGCTTACTACACTTGCTGCTGCCTCTGCTTCTGCTGCTACTTCGCATCTTGCACCTCTGCAAACTCTGATGTTGGTGTGGTGGAGCTGCTGCTGCTGCTGCTGCTGCTGCTGCTGCTGTGGGGAATTTTGATGTTGGGTCTTGGGTGGATAGCTAAAAATGCGATATTGATTGGTGTTTGAGTAGATGTGGCTGTGGTGGGTAGTTTTGGAGCAAATGATACTGATGCTCACATTTTTTTTCTATATGATGTATCCTTCATATTGATGTAGCTTCCGAATTTAGAACGCATCATTCCAAGATGCCTTCTCGTGCACGCGCAGCGTCGATGGGCTGGACATCCAGTTGGTCAAAGCTAGCCACAACAAAGAGCCTGCTTCAATGGCCGACGTGCTGCTGCACCCACACGTTTCCTCCTGGGCGCTGTGTTGACTCCTCATGCTGTACCCATTTCTTTTTTCCTATTAGTGGATTGCTTGTGGACAGATTGTGGTGCCACGATTTTCGTGGATGTGAACGAAGACTCGGGAGCCTGCATCACGATTAGTGGCTGCGGTCAGCTCCTACCATTCAGAAATGTAGAAAATAATCCACGTTGGAAAGGTGCAACGAACTCTCCTTTCGCAACCACCTCCCATCCGCCTGTGGGTTTCGTGAGAAGGTGGTGGAAAGTCCAGCGCTGACAGCACGTGGCAGCTGACAGCTCCTGCTGGGGTGGAAGCGATGACCAACCTGGTTGCTTGCCCTCGGTAGATCAACCCACCCCTCCTATTGTAACTGCCACGTCAGTATCCACAGACCCCACTGCGTACGGGTGTAGGGTACCATACCGGATACCTACAGTCCTACAGTACAGTGTATGTGCCCTCACCTCGCCTCGCTTCACCCAGTCTGCATGGACACTGAGTGAGTGACCATATGCATGGTGTACATGAAACTGCGCGCAGCACCTATGATTCGAATGGGCTGGACATGACACCTGACCTGACATCAGGTGAGGAACAAATCATACGATGGCATCATGGTGAGGGCAGGACTCACCCCTGCTCGCGCCGCGGGCGCCTTGAGAGTAGAAACGCATTTTTCCATCTGAACCATCCATCATGACTTGCGTCAAATGACTATGCAATGTGGGCATGCTGATGCGGCAAGAGTCAGCCAACGGCAAACTGAAGATTTGGCGCGCGTCACGTTGAGCCAAAAGTGAGCTGTGCCATTCGCAAGCCTCCCCCCACGCCACGGCAGCAGACGGAGATGGAGGAGACGGTGGGGCGGAACACAAATGAAGGAAGATTTTTTGCCCCGAAAGAATATGCAAGGAAGAATTGGGCGAAGAGCCTACATGAGTGACCAACAAGCGCTTCTCCCACTGCCAACGCTACACTATTCCGCGCCAACGCAGCAAAACGCGAAACGTCTGGTGTGGGCTGGGCGAACACAACTGGAATGGGGAAAACATACTGAATGAGGGAGTGAACGGTGTCCTCGTGGTCGTTCTGATGGTGAAGGGATGGATCTTGGAGATGGCTGGTGGAAATGCGTGATGTGGTGACGAGCCGTGCGGGGCGGAGCGTGGTGCAGCTGGTTTGGTTGGTAGGCGGCAGCAAATTGGTGCCCAAAATTACCACGCTCAACTGAGCGTTTGAACTGGGAGGAATGATGAAGAAAACATTGGGCGGTCGATAATCATTCCATGTCATGTCGCTCGCTCGCGAGCTGAAACTAGAAAATAACAGCAAGCAAGCTTGGTACGGACGGAGCCACGCCCTCAACGAAATTACTCGCGCAATTTCATTGCCAGCTCTCGCAGTAAGGACGTCGATGAGCTTCAGTGACCGCAAGAACTGAGTGCGACGCCCCCATAGACCAGCCTGATCTCTGTTATCACTCTGTCTCGCGACCAGACACTTGGCAGGCTCTCTTCGTTAACACATCCTCTTTCGAATCCAAACAAGAGCCGTACCCAGGTCGTAATTCGCTCTACTAGTAATTCACCATGAGTTCCGTTGGCGTCGCCTGCGTACCCGTAGCTGCTGTTTCCGCGCCCCTCTCTGCCACTGTCCGCCCCGCCACCCCCGACGCGCGCGCTGCGAGCGTCGCGTCGCTTTGCTGGTCCAGCAGCAGCCACTCGCTTGTGGAGGCCGGCAACTGCCGCCGCGCGTCGGCAACAGCCTTAGTGCGATCGACGTCGTTAGCTGCGGCACAGTCATGCGCGGCAAGTGCGGCCGGCATCAGGTGCTGCGTCAGCAGCATCGGCGGGGTCATCATCAGCAGCGCGGGGAGCAGCCGCGCACAGAGCGGTAACGCCGCGAGGCTGAGCCGCCATGTCCCCTCGCAACTGGCGCAATCCCAACATTACTCGCCGGCAATCCGTCGCGCCCGCAATGCGAGTCATTTCAATCAAACGAGCGCGTCGCTCGCGTCGAGCGCCGGCGCCGCGGCGGCGGCGGCGTCTCAAACATGCACGTTTGAGTTCACGACTCCATCGAGCCGCCGGCGAGATGAGCGACGACCGGCAGGCGTGAGACCGCCGTCGTCGTCTTCGCCAGTAACATTCCCGGCGGGACTTCGCGTCGTATGCAGCGCGAGCGGTAACACCGCTGCCGCAGCCCGTGCCGCTGACGTGTCGCGAGCCACGTCAGCGGCGCCAGCGTCGTCCACGCTGTCGCTGACGACATTCAACATCCTCGCGCCCATCTACAAGCGGCTCGGCGGCGAGGTAAAGCAGTCTGAAGTGGCGGTCAAGTCGCGCCGCTGCGATCTACAGTCGTCTGTTATTCTTCTTTCCTCGCGGATTACGATTGATTTGATTTCCGCGTCAGTTCTTCTCTCGCCCCGTGTTTCCTCTCCTTCCCCCATTCCTCGTGTGTCCTCGTCGCGCAGGGCGAGCGCGAGAGCGCGTGCGAGCACCTGTGGCGCGATCGCAACCGTCGCATAGTGGACCTGCTGCTGTCGCTGCAGTCGTCCGTGGTGTGCCTGCAGGAGTTCTGGTTCGACGGCGGCGACCTGGAGCGCATGTACGAGTCGCACCTGCAGGCCAGCGGCTATACGCTTTACAAGCTGCCCCGCACTAACGCCCGCGGCGACGGGCTGCTCACCGCCGTCCGCACGAGCGCCGGCGCCAGAGGCGCCGTAGCGGAAAGTGCGGCGGAAGCGGCGGCGGGAAGCGAGGTGGTGAGCGTGGTGGACTATGAGCCGATTTTGTTCCACGACTGCGGCGACCGCGTGGCGCAGCTGCTGCGCTTGCGCATCACGGGCGCAGGGGAGGGGGGGCGCCGGGAAGGGGAGGGACAGGCAGTGGAGAACGGCCGCGGTGATGATGGTGTGTTAGCAGATACAGCAGCAGCAGCAGCTGATGCTGCAGCAGCGGCGGAAGCAGGGCAGCAGCACGAGGTGCTGGTGATAAACACGCACCTGCTATTCCCGCACAACGCCAACTCGAGTGTGATTCGGCTGCGTGAGGTGTACAAGATCCTCGAATACGTGGACGCCTACAAGCACGCGCACGGGCTGCACGCGCTGCCCATCCTGCTCGCCGGGTAAGCCAGACCGTTTTTTTTTGGGCGCTTTGGTCTCTGTGAAGCACGTGGCTTCGTTATGAATGTTAACCAGGCTACTTTCCGTTCGCATGCCTTCTGATTGTCTTTCCAAGTTGTTTGCGAGGGGGAGGGGAACGCACGAGTCTGAAACACTATGAAGCCTCCTTATTCCTTGCTTGTCAAATCTGTCTCACTCGTCCTCCCTGTCCGTGTGTGTGTGTGTCGGGTGCGTCGTCCTCTTCTCCCCCTTGCAGCGACCTGAACGGCCCTTTGGACGGCGAGGTGTGTCGCTTCCTGCGGTCGCAGGGCTTCGTATCGTGCTATGACAGTGTGCAGAGTGGCGACGACACCGACAATAATGTATGTGCTGCTGCTTCTGCTGTCTCGCATGCAAACTAACGGCTCCCCTCTGCAACCAATACCATACCTTTAGTAACCAAGATGGGTCTTGCAGCGCAGCATGTCTCACATCTAAGTCTTCTGGTCTCGCCGTGTGTCTGTCTGTGTGTGCGCGTGTGCTCTCGTGAGTGCAGTGGGTGTCGCACCGCAACCACCGGGGCGAGGAGGTGGGGGTGGACTTCGTGTGGCTGCTCAATCCCTCCCAGCAGCTCCATGGCCCGCTTACTGCTGACTGGAAGGCCGCTGTCTTTCGCATGATCAAGGTGCGTGCGTGTGTGCGTGTGTGCGTGTGTGGGTGTGTGGGTGTGTGAGTGTGTGGGTGTGTGTGTGTGTGGGTGTGTGCGTGTGTGCGTGTGCATGCCTCAGAAAACCTCTTGTTGGCGCCTTTTCACCCTCCAATCCTCACACCATTACCCACTAGTATCTCACATCCCTTCACTTACATTCCTCACGAATTAGCTAACTGTGTAGCTACCTACCTCTCCCATTCCTGTGTTTGTTTTGTTTCCAGGCGAAGCTGATAGAGGCGGGGATAACAGAGGAGCGGCAGGCGTTCGAGTTTTTCCAGTCAGCCGGCACACACTCAGCCGGCCAGCAGCAGCAGAAGCAGCATGGGGAACAGAATCACCACGACTGCATCACCCCAGAGGAATTTGCATACGCCATGGACGAGGTGAGCTGCGTGACAGTCTGTCTGTGCTCCATCCTCCGCCAACTTTCATACCCCTTTTTGCCATCCCATTAACCGTCCCCAACTTCTAGCTCCCTACCTTCCCTCTCCTATCACCATCCTTAGTCTTCTCCTCCCCCTCCACTCCCCCATTCCACCCCCTCCCTCTCTTCCCCGCCACCCTTCCCCCACCCCTCCCGCTCCGTCTCCCTGCCTCAGCTGGGTCTAACGGGCGAGGACAGTGTGGGGCTGACGCGGGAGGAGATTCGTGAGCTGGTGCAGCGGGCGGACACGAGTGGCAGCGGGGCGGTGGACTACAAGGCGTTCAAGCTGCTGCTGCGCACCGAGTCCATGGAGGATACCTTCGCCCGCATCTGCAAGGCCACTGGGATTCACGAGCAGCCGTGGATTCAGCCCAGGCAGCAGCAGCAGGAGCAGCAGCAGCAGCAGGAGGAGGAGGAGGAGGAGCAGCAGCAGCAGCAGCAGCCGTGGCAGATGTGGCAGGGGCAGCAGGATTTGCAGGGGTCGTTTGACGAGGCTGTGGAGCAACAGCAGCATGAGAGCAGGTGTCCACTGAAGCGAGGCGTGCAGGCATTGCAGCAATGCATCACGATGGACGCCCTCTTCCACGACTCAGCTCCCATTGCTGCTGGCAGTCCCCTGTCGCCTGGCAATGCAGCAGCACCCTTTGGAATGCCAGAGCAGCCAGTCTCACAGGTGTCGTCCTCATTCCCCATGTCGCTTGGACGGCATGGGCCTATGGTGCTCGCAGCCGGTGCTGTTGCTGCCGCCTCTGCTGCTACAGTCGCTGCCACAGCTGCTACTGCCGCCAGTGGCGAGAAGAAAGGTCAATGGGAGGAGTGCAGGAGCTGTGCGTGTGACCGTGTGGACTGTGAAGAGTGTGGGTACAACCCCAAGCGACGGGGTCAACAAGGCCAGCAGCAGGAGGAGGAGCTGGAGAGTGGTTTGGAAACGCGTGAGCTGGCGGTGCAAGCTGCAGAGTTGTTCCCGCCGGAGATGCAGCAGGGCACGTGGCCCTCTGACTATGACCTGTCGGACCATGCTGCAGTCACTGCTGTGCTGCGCGTGCTGTGACACAGATGGAGAGAAGGAGCGGTGCTGTACAAGGAGAAGATTTAAGTGCCAGTAACACGGAGAAGGAGCAGTGCAGTAATACGTTGACTGCCGTTCAAAAGTGGGCGCCGTTTGAGTCGGTTCAAGGCGTTTGAGGCAGTTCAAGGCGTTTGAGGCGGTTCAAGACGTTTGAGGCGGTTTAAGACGCTTGACGCGGTTCAATAGCAGCAGGGGTGTGTACGGTACATACTGCGGATGTACGGTGGTAGTAAGGATGCTGTTGCTGTGTGTGTGTGCATAAGTATGGCTTTGTGTGCAGGTGTGTTGGTCGCAATCTTTGGTTTTGTGTATGCATGCATACATGCATACGCCTTGTGTGCTTTGTTTGTGCATTTGTGTATATCGAGTGCTTTGCTTAGCTGCGTCTGGCCAATAGGTGTGTTGTGTCGTCGCGGCTACACCAGGCCCTCAGATTCACTTTTAGGCACGTAAGGGTATCAGGGTCCCTCTGCCTAGAATCCCTGATCGACAGGGTCGCCTAGAAAAAAAGCCTGAAAGTTCAGTATTACTAAAAAAAAAAGTCTGATGCATCAGTGTTCACTACAAAAAAAGGCTGATTACTAGTACTGATAGTCTCTATTATAATTAGAATAGAACACACTAGACTAGAAGGAAGCTAGCAGCCTTCAATCTATCTATCTGTGTATTCTACAAAACCAAAGCCTATCTTGCTAGCTAGCTATGCAAGGCATCAAGCATGACTCTGGGTCTGGGAGAGTTCAGAAATCATCATCAGATGAGGCTTGCTTGTCATCATCATCATCATCTCTTCCCTTAGCCTGTCGTTCTTCCAACTCCTCCTCCTCTAGGGCCTCCTTTCCCTTGCTACCACTGCCCTCCCCCTCGCTTGCTGGTGGTGCTGCCACATTGCCGAATGGGCGGCGCTTCTTGTAGCTGCGCCAGATCTGCACCACCTCATCGTAGTTGGGCTCGTAATCGAGTAGAGACATCGTGATCAGGTCTTCAAGGCGGGCGTCCTTCAAGCTCCCCCGCTGCCACGATTTGATAACGTTCTGGCGCGAGAAGCCGCGCTCACACTCCACTGTGCTCAGCGGCAGCACGGCGACAGCCACCCAGAGACGCACCAGATTGGGGTAGCTAGTCGCCCAGTCGCTTGTCTTCAGCATTGCTGTTAGGCCGGCGTGGAAGCTGCGCTCGTTCTTCGGTGCACCTGCGAGGATGGGGCAGAAGGCACGCAGCTCCTTGATCGCACGCCGCTTGTCGATCCCTGCCACATAAGGCAGATGGAAGAGTGAGAGGGGATTAGAATGGCGGGCACATTTGTACACCATACAGTTATAACATGCAATAAAGCACCTCGTGTACAGAATCAATGCCGGAGCGGGAATACCTGGAATGATGTAGTCGGTGTCCTGTGCCCTGAACAGCGTCACGAGTGACTCGAGCCACTCGAGGCACTGCCTGTGGCGCTCCGCTCTCCCAGGCTCCCACTCGTTAGGCATGAACAGCCGCACTCCCACCAGGGAGTCCAGGTCCTTGAACCGTTTGGTGAGGTTTCGCACGAGCGTCTCGGCAAACGTGGTGCAGAGATCGACGCAGGCGTCGTGAGTGCCGAGGGTTGGGTAATCCTCGCTCGGGTTCTCGTGCAGCTGGAAGGTGTGTGTTGTCGGCCGACCGTCCGAGTCGACTCCCTGCACCTTCACCTCGGGATTGCCCCCCTCAGGCCCGTGCTTCTTGATGAAGGGGGACAGGCGCGCGCTCATTCAGCCTCCGAAGTCGTCACCACAGTCGACGTAGCGGGACTCGAGGAATGAGATGGAGCGGCGGATCTGCGCGTGGACACTTGCAATGTCCAGCTGTTAGGGGGCGACAGGGAAAACACAGAGGGTGGAAGGAAGGCAAAATCAGTGTAACGCCGCATTTAGTTGAGATGTACATCAAACCATTAATAAGCACTGACCAAAAGCTGAGGACACAATACATGGTTGCTCGTAACCATGCTCACCTCTCGCTGCTGGAATGCTCTGCTCAGCACATTGAGCTGCTCGAGGACGTCTGCAAGGAAGTACAACAAAAAGTGAAACCTGTAGCTCGTGGCGAGCTCGTACAGTGTGCTGTCCCACTCATACAGCATCACGATCAGCGCGGGGAAGACCTCTACCGCGCGCATAATGGCATCACCCCTAGAGAGCCAGCGGACGTCGTGAATCCCCTATAGCTCCAGGTTCGTTCTCGTGAAAACTTCTTGCAGCCCCATGAACCTTTGATGCCAAGGGCCAGAACGCCCAAGATGCTCAGCCACTTGGCGGAGCAGCGCATCCACCATCCCGAACTCGGGGAGTGCTTCAGCTGCATCTTTTGCTGCGAGCGCCTCCCTGCGTGCACAACACCAAACAGACCGGCACCTTGAGGCATTAGCACGTGATGCTCCAGATACTCTAGAGATGCGGAAGACACAAGATACAACATACCTGTGGGCGATGCAGTGGCTCGAGACAAGATGCGGTATGCGGACGCGAAGTCGAGCGACCAGACCGTTGTGTTTCCCCATCATCACACTCGCTCCGTCAGTGCTTATGCCGGATATCCTCGACAGTTCAATGCCAAGGGCCTACAGGTGGGACAGGAGCACTGAGAGGAGAGAGGCGGCATCGCCCTTCTCCACGGTCAGCAGCGCAAGAAACTCAGTGACGGGACGGTTGTCACGGATGAATGTTGCGAATATAATCATGTGCTTCCCCGGCACCTGTCCGTGCTCTCGTCGCATGTGATGCCAAGGTACGGACTTGAAAGGATGTGCTGCAGTTGCGTTGTGTGCAACCACGTGGCCATCGACTGTGTTAGCTGCCCGAAGCCGTATCTGCAGCGCATGTCAAACACGACAATGTCACTGATGGAAATTGAAAAGCACATACACGGTTGCAGTGAGTGGAAAACGGAACTCATGTCGTGTAATATGTTCCATAGCCTTTGGCGGGGAAACCAGGCACCTTAAAACCAGGGTCTCACGTAGATCATTTGTTTTGCAGTTGATGGGAAACCCCCGTTTCCCATTGGTTGACGAGGTTGGAAAAACGAAAAGGGGTGCAGCGAGGGATGCGAAGGGAACAAAATCGTTTGCTGTGTTCCAAACCTTCTAGGTATGGAAACAGGTTCGGAGCCGAAGCTAGAGTGCCAGTGAAATGTCAAGAGTTGTCGAAAGTCTCATGTACCGGAAATTTGTTTTGCAATTGGTGCTGAGGCAAAAGTGGGGGAGTGTCGCACGCCAACTTCCCTAGCCAACCAGTCCGCCTCGCCTAGAAAAACAAGGTAACTCAGTCTCAAATGTTTTGCAGTTGATGGCATAATCTCTTACTTGAGACCCGCGAGGTAGCGTACAAGATTCACCCATAACTCTATGGGTGCATCTTGCTTGGTGACAAAGATGAGGGAGTCCAGGATCTTGATGACATGCTCCTTCTCCGTGTCGCGAGCAAGATTGTCGCCGTTGATCCGTGGCTGCCTGGCGGCTTCCGAGAGGAGCTTCTCCTGGTGTTTCAACGCCTCCTTGTGCTTGGTTGTTGCCGCATGCCGTTTGAACGCCTGCGTCTGAACGTCTGTGGCACCCTTTCCGCCTCTCCCGCACGGTCCAGCATACCCTGCGTGCTCGGTACAGATGCTTCACTTGAAAGCAGGGAGACCGTCAAAAGTTTTAAGCAAAATTAGCCAAGAAAAATGCTCGAGCCACTCGCTTTTATACTTATACAGCGCCTCCGCATGAATTGCGTATGGACCTGCCGGTTTAGATGGCGACACCTGTGTGCCTGCGGTCGCAGGCGTCGACTGTTGGTCGGCTGGCGAAGGCGGTGTTGCTCCAGCGTTACCTCCCGGTTTGAACCATGGCAGCGTTGACTGCGTGTACCTGGCGTTCTTCTTAGCCACTGGTACAGCGGCAGTCTCCTCAACAGAAGGCGAGGAGCTGTCTTACTCCAACACTGGCGCTGTAGGGGAGGGACATAACCCCTCGTCTATTGGTTCGAATGGAATATCTACGGGCGGCGCGACAGCAGGCGCCTTCTCATGGTTGTCGACTTGCGCGAAGCTGGAGAAAAGCAGATCCAGCCCGGTAACAGCAGCGGAAACATCAACTGGCGAACGACGATGTGCATCATCACCGTGGTCGCCCGTTTTTTCAATGGCGTCCAGGTGGTCCGCCATTGATTGCAGCGCTACTAAGCAGCATCAAACGGCAATTACGAACTAGCCTAACTTGAACGAGGAAAGAGAACACACGGCTGACTGCCTCTTGATACACCAGGCATCAACGCGATGAAACCCTTGCTTGATGGAAGGAAAGCATGGAGCAGAATGGGATGGGAGACTGGATGGCAGGTAGCACGGCTGGGCGGCCTGGATGCATCCGTGCTTGCCAGCACGACTTAGACAAAACGGGCCACAGGACCACAGGTGCTTCACATGGGCCAGAATCCCTCGTTGCACAGTGTGCTGCAACCTTGTAATTGGTCAAATCAGGAAATGCTGTCAAAGTGACAAATCATCGCACCAAGTGTGCCAACAAAGCAACCCTCACTAAGGGCAAATTTGTCTGGTACTCACCACCACGCCCTGCTGACACCGCGGGAATCTGATATTCCCTGTACTGCTGGACAACTACACTCAGACCGTGTAGGAATCGCTTTCAGGGTCGGATTCATTACAACGTAGTGGAATCAGTGTCACTAAAAAAAATTTGCTGAAAGTTCAGAGTCATGTGGCAGGTGAAGGCTGAAAAATCAGCCCCACAAAAAGCTGAACACTGGAAAATCAGTGTAGGTTGAAAAAAAACCCTGGAAATCAGGAATTTCAGGGTAAAATTCCTGATATCGTAGGGCCTGGGCTACACTTAGCACTAAGACGAGTTGTTGTAATTGAAAGATGTTTCAAGCAGAGACCCTATGTACCGGTATCAGGGCTCTGGCTAGGTTTTTGGCCTCTCTAAAAAGAGTACGAAAAAAAAAAATTGTCGGAAGGAAATATGAGCAAACTTGGGTGGTCCGACTTTTCAGATGAAACATAAATACTTGTCTGAAAGTTTCCCAGTATATGCAAGTCGGCCGAACATTCTGTGCAGCATCAGAAATTGAACCCTGGTAATTACTACAACAAGAAACCAAGCAAGGACTAAGCCCAACAGGCAAATATACACTACACTGTCTACGATACTTCAATTTATATGTTTTTTTTTTTTTTTTTTTTTTTCTATTCTCGCAAATATCAAACCGAACAAATATCAACACAAGATCACTTTTGCCAAGGTCATTGGTACAGACCAATGCCTGTCCAGCTCACGTGCCGTCTTTGCTCAAACACACGTGAATTCACCTCACCGCTCATAACCTCGCACACAACATGTCTCCTGCATGCATAGAAAGAGAAAAAGGGAAAGAGAGACATAGATCAGGGCCCAAAATTGGTTTAGACCCACCCTGACAAATCAGGGTTCCAGGCCCTCCTTACCCTGACCCGTAAGGTAATTTTTTTCGTACCCTGCTGGCAGCATGGTAAAAATGTTTGCACCCTGCTAGCAGCAGGGTAAATATTTTCGTACCCTGATGCACAAGACAGCACGAAACTGTCATTGACACGCTACTTTGATCAGCTGGCGAATTTGAAATGAAATGGTTGGAATGTTGACCGTTGATGAAGGTTGCTCTTAATCTGACGGATGCAGATGGCCTTGACCAAATTGAAGTGAGGTTGGAATTTCGACCGTCGATGAAGTGAGATGTCGATCTGACGGACGCAGATGAACTATCTCAAAGTAAAAATGCAACGGAATGTGGGTGATACAAATAGCAAACCCTAACTGAGTTGTACTCACCAAGGAGCACCTTACTACAGCCTATCACAAACATCTGTTAGAATCTACTAGCAGGAGTGGATGAACTAGGAAAGTGTTGAGTACAAGTATGAAACCCTACAAAGAGCTGTACCCCATATTGGCTACCCCACTACAGCCTAAAAATTTATAGCATGCATATAATTTGACACACCCCCATAGGCAAAGTGGGGGAGAGCAAGGGGTCACAAGACCAGTCAAAAGAAGCAAAGCAAGCTCAGGGTGGATCACACAAACTAAGCACAAGCAAAGGGCCACAAGGCCAGTTCACATGCAGAGGTATATATGCAACAACAACAGCACAGTGATCTCTACCTAGCAGATCAAGCATGCAGGTATATATATAGATCACAGTACAAGCAAAGTCTACAGCAAGTGAGGAAACGTGGGCACAAGGCCTAACAAAAGTGCAGAAACGCTGATGATCACCAGACGGAAGTGCATTGGTGAATATATCAGCAATGTTGGCCCGAGTGGCCACGTGAGCAAGACGAAGCTGACCACGCTGCTGCAACTCTCGAGCAAGGAAGTAACGCAGAGCGATGTGCTTCGTTCTATGCTCCAGTCTGTGCTCCTGACACAAGGCAATGGCGGCCTTGTTGTCTGCGTATAGAACTGGAGGAGAACGAGGCCGCTCTCCCAGGTCGGTCAACAGGTAGGTGAGCCAGCGTAACTCTTGTGCAGCCATGGCTGTGGCGTAGATCTCAGCCTCACATCTGGAGCTGAGAACAGAAGACGAGCGTGTAGACCGCCAAGAAACAGAGCCAGAGCCAAGACTAAAGGTGTAACCCTGTGACGACCGCTGCGTAGCCAGGTCGTCAACCGAAGAAGCGTCCGAGTGCCCAGTGAGGACAACGTCGCCCCGTCCTCCAAGCACGAGCCCAA